CAACAAAGCCTTTAGTCCCAAACAAGTTGGGGTAGGCTAGAGGTGAAACCCATAAGATCTCGCAACCAACTCATGGCTCTGGCACATGGGTAGCAAGCTTCCACGCACCCCTGTCCATAGCTAGCTCTTTGTCGATACTCCAATCCTTCAGGTCTCTCTTAACGGACTCCTCCCATGTCAAAATCGGTCGACCCCGCCCTCTCTTGACATTCTCCGCACGCTTTAGCCGTCCGCTATGCACTGGAGCTTCCGGAGGCCTGCGCTGAATATGCCCAAACCATCTCAAACGATGTTGGACAAGCTTCTCCTCAATTGGTGCTACCCCAACTCTATCTCGTATATCATCATTCCGGACTCGATCCTTCCTCGTGTGGCCACACATCCATCTCAACATACGCATCTCCGCCACACCTAACTATTGAATATGTCGCCTTTTAATCGGCCAACACTCCGCGCCATACAACATTGCGGGTCGAACCGCCGTCCTGTAGAACTTGCCTTTTAGCTTTTGTGGCACTCTCTTGTCACAGAGAATGCCAGAAGCTTGGCGCCACTTCATCCATCCGGCTTTGATTCGATGGTTCACATCTTCATCAATACCCCCATCCTCCTGCAACATTGACCCCAAATACCGAAAGGTGTCCTTCCGAGGTATCACCTGGCCATCAAGGCTAACCTCCTCCTCCTCACAGCTAGTAGTACTGAAACCGCACATCATGTACTCGGTTTTAGTTCTACTAAGCCTAAACCCTTTCGATTCCAAAGTTTGTCTCCATAACTCTAACTTCCTATTTACCCCCGTCCGACTATCGTCAACTAGCACCACATCATCCGCAAAGAGCATACACCATGGGATATCTCCTTGTATACCCCTTGTGACCTCATCCATCACCAATGCAAAAAGATAAGGGCTCAAAGCTGACCCTTGATGCAGTCCTATCTTAATCGGGAAGTCATCGGTGTCGACATCACTTGTTTGAACACTTGTCACAACATTATTGTACATGTCCTTGATGAGGGTAATGTACTTTGCTGGGACTTTGTGTTTCTCCAAGGCCCACCACATGACATTCCGCGGTATCTTATCATAGGCCTTCTCCAAGTCAATGAACACCATATGCAAGTCCTTATGCTCCCTATATCTCTCCATAAGTTGTCGTACCAAGAAAATGGCTTCCATGGTCGACCTCCCACGCATGAAACCAAACTGATTTTTGGTCACGCTTGTCATTCTTCTTAAGCGGTGCTCAATGACTCTCTCCCATAGCTTCATTGTATGGCTCATCAGCTTAATTCCACGGTAATTAGTACAACTCTGAACATCCCCCTTGTTCTTGAAGATTGGTACTAATATACTCCGTCTCCATTCTTCTGGCATCTTGTTTGCCCGAAAAATGAGGTTGAAAAGCTTGGTTAGCCATACTATCGCTATGTCCCCGAGACCTTTCCACACCTCAATGGGGATACAATCAGGGCCCATCGCCTTGCCTCCTTTCATCCTTTTTAAAGCCTCCTTCACCTCAGACTCCTGGATGCGCCGCACAAAACGCATGCTGGTCTCATCAAAGGAGTCATTCAGTTCAATGGTAGAACTCTCATTCTCCCCATTGAACAGCTTGTCGAAGTACTCCCGCCATCTATGCTTAACCTCTTCGTCCTTCACCAAGAGTTGGCCTGCTCCGTCCTTGATGCATTTGACTTGGCCAATATCCCTCGTCTTCCTCTCCCGGATCTTAGCCATCTTATAGATGTCCCTTTCACCTTCCTTCGTGCCTAACCGTTGGTAGAGGTCCTCATATGCCCGACCCCTTGCTTCACCAACAGCTCGCTTTGCGGCCTTCTTCGCCATCTTGTACTTCTCTATGTTGTCTGCACTCCTATCCAGGTATAGGCGTCTGAAGCAATCTTTCTTCTCTTTAAGCGCCTTCTGGACATCATCATTCCACCACCAGGTATCCTTATCTTCGCTTCTCCTTCCCCTGGACACTCCAAACTCCTCCGAGGCCACCTTACGAATGCAAGTCGCCATCTTCATCCACACATTGTCCGCATCCCCTCCTTCCTCCCAAGGGCCCTCCTTAAATACCCTCTCCTTGAACACCTGAGCTACCTCCCCCTTGAGCTTCCACCACTTCGTTCTAGCGACCTTGGCACGCTTATCCCGCTGGACACGAATCCGAAAGCGGAAGTCAGCAACCACCAGCTTATGCTGGGGTACAACACTCTCCCCAGGTATCACCTTACAGTCTAGGCACGCACGCCTATCTTCTCTTCTCGAGAGGATGAAATCAATCTGGCTAGAGTGTTGACCACTACTAAAAGTCACCAGATGTGATTCTCTCTTTCTAAAGAGGGTGTTAGCTACAATCATGTTGTAGGCTAGAGCAAAGCTTAAGACATCTTCTCCTTCTTGATTCCTGATGCCATAGCCAAAGCCCCCATGCGCCCCTTCAAAACCTGTGTTAGATGTACCCACGTGGCCATTGAGGTCTCCTTCTATGAAGAGCTTCTCACCAATCGGTACACTCCTAACCATGTCTTCCAAGCCTTCCCAAAACTCCCTCTTGGTGTTCTCATTGTGGCCTACTTGCGGGGCATATGCGCTGATAACATTGAGAACCAAGTCCTCAGCTACCAGCTTGACCAGGATAATCCGGTCCCCACGTCTCCTGACGTCTACCACTCCATACTTGAGGCTCTTGTTGATCAAGATGCCTACGCCATTTCTGTTTGCAGCCGTCCCCGTGTACCACAGCTTGAAGCCGGTATCCTCCACCTCCTTCGCCTTCTGTCCTCTCCATTTGGTTTCTTGGACGCAAAGGATATCAACACCTCTCCTCACTGCTGCATCAACTAGCTCCCGAAGCTTCCCTGTCAGAGACCCTGCGTTCCAGCTACCTAAGCGAATCCTCCTAGGCTCGGCTAGCTTCCTTACCCTTCGCACTCGTCGAGTCAAATGCGAAGACCCTTGCTCATTTTCCACTACATCCGGGCGCCGATGTAGCGCGCCACTAAGGATGCGACGACCCGATCCTCGCTCACTTGCCACCGTATCCGAATCAAGATACGGCGCGCCACTTGGGGGTGACGGCCCGGCCCTTGCCCATTTTCCACCACACCCGGGTTCCGATGTGGCGCGTCGCTGAGAGGGTTACGCCCCAACGAAAATCTTTTGGGTTTCATCTCCATAAGAGTGGCTGAGTTTTTACGTTGGCTCGCCAAGCCTATCACAACCCTCCTCCTTTACCCGGGCTTGGGACCGGCTATGTTGAGACAACATAGGCGGAGTTGTTTAATAATGTTGTCCATGAAACAGAAATCCCTTAAGACAAGTTGTTTCAGCTGACAGGTAACTTTTGAATGCTGTCCAGGTATGTGGCCACTGTGGCGGCGCGGACTGGATCATGGAAAGTGGGGTCAAGTGTGTTTCGCTTGCATGCCCGGTGTTCTATGAGCGTCGGAAGATTCAGAAGGAGTTGAGAGTCGTCTCGGAATCCGCTGGAGAAGCTGGCTATTATCCATTCTGCTGCGGGGAGCTATTCTGACTTTGTATTCTTGTTGTTAATATCTTGTACATTGTACATCTGTAAAATGTACAATCAGACTGTAATTATGTTGTTGTAACTCATAGCATTGTTATGTACCAGTGTGTGTAGCAAAGGAGTATATAATGTGTAACAACACACATCCTCATTTGAGAGGGCAAGAAAAAGTTACCCACCAGTTTGTTTCCGAATGGTGTTTTCTGTCTTGACCACCCCCCTGTGCTAGAAATTCAAAGGTCGTGATACCTTATGGTTGCGTATTCATGCTTAATTTTGAAAGGATTGTAGTTTTGAAGAGAGTACTTGTACATGTAATAGTATGAGCAAACTTTTTGTCAGACATGAATATTTTTCTGACTTATATTGTTAGATCTGTTGATGGCCAGGTGAGCAAGGATCAGATTCAGGAGGTTTTTAGATCGATGTGCAATCCACCAGCAAAAGAAGTATGGCTCTGAGGCACTGAAGACCGACGACCAGCAAAAGAAGTATTGTTAGATATCCTCATGCTTGATTTTGACAAGAGTATGAGCACTTTCTATTTTCTCAGCTGCCGAGTTCTTTTTTTTTTTTTAGAATCCACTGCCAAGTTTGATAAGACCCAATTTCAAAGCATCCAGGCTCCCTCCTTCACCACACTGGAAATCCAAATGTACCCCCAAAGGTTTAGGAGGGATCTCTTCTTGCTTTCTTACATAATGAAGGGTGGGTGAGCTTGCTACCTGTTTAAACTCTGGCTTGCACAGTTTGATGAGCCTTTCTGAGCCTCAAATTCTTGTGCATTCTCCCCCACGCTCTTGTTGTATACTAATATTCTCTCTTGTACTACCTCTAGTGAGCTAAAACATCTTATATTTGCTTAGAAGTACATATTTCCCTTCTAATAAAATTTGCTGATGGGGGCTAGGGCCTCCCTACAGTTTTCTCGCTCAGAAGAGAGAAAACAAAACAATGATCAGAGCCTGTAGGCCCTTGCTTATGTTTGGATGTTAACCTAAACCAACCATACTTTTTTTTGCCATAGCCAAATTTTAGACTCTTGTTTGGATGGTTGCCGATACTTGGCAACCAAAACCTTGACCAAAATATTTGCTAGCCAAATTTTAGACTCTTGTTTGGATGGTTGCCAATGCTTGACAACCAAAACCTTGACCAAAATATTTGCTAGCCAAATATTAGTAGGGCTATAGCTTGGGCTCAAACCAACAAACCCTTAAGACCAATGAGCATCTGGGTGAAACACAGGGAGAAAATTGGAACATAGTTCAGCCCAACTCCATGTTGGCGAACAAGTTTAATTCTGATATAAGGTTACATTATTTTCAGCTCCATGCAGTTTGTTTACAGGGTTCATTGCATGGAGGCCTAACTATAGAACATCACCCATAGTGACGAGGACGACTGGGCGTTCGAAGGCGTGGTCTTGCTTTTATTCCTAGAACCGTGGGCTGTCATCTACAGAGCGGATTGGAACAGCATCTCAGCCAGTTCCTGCATAGGAAAACAGGCAACAAAAGGTCGTAAGGAACAATCGTCAGTCAGCGCAAGAGATATATTTGCATTATGCAGTGAAAGACAAGCGGCCTAGGTTTATCACTCCGTTTACCTGTTTGCCGGATGGAACGGTTGGCTCACCCCACTCCAAGACCTTCTTTTCTAGCGTTTCAAAGTCTCCCTTCCCAGCCTGTTTCAAACCATAGCCAGTGTTACCACCACAATTCAATCTCTTTGAGTAAACAAGTCCAAACTTGCTAATTTGTGTACCTCGATCATGGCGCCAATCTCAGTGTCAAAGCTCTGGTAGCGCTTGCGGACAAGCTCGTCCAGGGAACCATCCTAATAACATCGAAAACAGAACTTCCATTTAGGTAAAGGCATGTGCAAACTTTACCAGGTCATGAACTAATTAGCCCCCAGTTACCTCAATCAGCTTGGCAACATTGCGGAGGCCACGGGCCATGGTGTCCATCCCAGAGATATGGGCAATAAACAGGTCCTCAACATCAGTACTCTCCCTCCGCCTGTCACCACAAAACAATTCCATGTCAGCCAAAGTTTCTGTCAAACCAAAGCACAATTCACAGAACAGCAATGATAGTGAGAGCTAACAATTTGGCGTCGAAGTTGAAGCCACCAGGTGCAAGTCCATCCTGCAACCGTATCAAGCAGAACAAATCATGAGCACTGTTACCTGAATGAAATGGTAACCAACACATGATACTGTACAAGAGACTTCTGATTCAGAAAAGGTAAAAGAAATGATTAATTCCACTCACGTTCTTAACTACACTTGACATAATCAAGGTAGCTTCTGAAATGTCTGTAAGGAACTCATCCGTGTCCCAACCTGCCGACATGTAAGAGTTGAAATGTTAAGCTACTAAGCGTGTAACAGGGATTCTAACAAGTCACAGCCATTATATGAACTACACACATACCAACTTGTGGATCACCAGTGTTTGCATCAATGTTTCCAAGAATATCATTAATGCGTGCAGTCTCAAGCTCATGATGGCAGCTGCAGAACACAAGTTTTAGATGCAGTTATAGTACTTGTATAACTTTAAGCTGTCATGACTGGATTTAGGCGAGCAAGAAACTTACCTATGCCCAGAGAGAGTAGCATGGTTGCACTCGACATTTATCTTGAATTCTCCTGTATCACCAAATTATTAAAAAAAAGAATCCATTTTATTTTAAAGAAAGAATGTTCTAAGATGATTCTCAGGAAAACATGGTTAAACTCCGGTGCTTCATTTGCATAAAATTGTTGCAAATATAAACATAAACATACGTAAAAACAGGAATGGTGATACTAAATGATTTGTTTTGGCCACATTTCAAAGATTACCTGTAAGACCAAACTTCTGTAGGAAAGAGAATGTAGTTGCAACATCCCAGTCATACCTGCAAGCAAAAAGTAAGTATTATTCTTTCCAGTCCTCTTAACATTTTCCTATATTCTCCAGACAAGAAACATACTGATGCTTTGTTGGTTCTTGTGGTTTAGGCTCTATCAACAATGTTCCTGAAAAAAAAAGGGATTCAGACACTCAGTATCTCCAATTATCATAAAGCGGAACAATCAAACTATTTACTGTCAAATTTGGGAGACTCGAACCAGAACATCAAGTATAGCACTGCATACCATTAAAGCCAATCTTCTTCTTGTGGTTAACAGCAGCCTGAAGAAAGTTAGCCTGGACAACAAAGAACGATTTATCAAATCTAGAATTTTTTTAGAACATTTACACATAATTTGTACTACAAACTACACCAAGTAGAAAGACACAAAAAGATAAGTATGTCTAACCCATACCAAATGTTCAAGTTCTCTCTTCATATCTGTATTGAGAAGAGTTTGGTAACCCTCTCTTCCACCCCAGAATACATAGTTCTCACCGCCTAGGTAGTGAGTAACCTGGAAGGGAATACAAATCAAGTTAAACAACTAATCAAAAGGAAGGCTTCCTATGATATTCAGACACAACCGACCTCCAAAGCTTTCTTCACTTGAGCAGCAGCATAAGCATACACCTTGACCTCTGGGCTGCAGCATCAGTGAAGGCCTTGCTTAGTTCCAAGTCATAACTCAAATTCACAAATGCAGTGAAATTTAGTACCCACCTAGTAGCAGCTCCGTGCATGTAACGTGGATGCATGAAAAGCTGTGCAGTCCCCCACAATGGCTTTATATTGGTCTCACTCTACATGATGTTCAGAGTATATTTTTGAGCAAAGAGCGGAAAAAAGTTGTACTGTAGGAAAACTAAATGTTGAAACATTTTAAGGTTGTAGCAGTAACCTGGAGTTGCTTTGCCAGCTGAACTATCTCATCCAAGTTAGCATTTGTTTCCTGCAATGTGAACAGAAGACCCGTAAGACAGAGAATACTGACCTTTCAGGGCCTAGGAGCCAAGGTAGTCAATATACAGCGACACTGTCTTGAGATATATTATGGTGACATCATTTTTCAGATAAACTACAGTGACACCCTGAGATGCTATTTTAGACAGAGCAATCTTCTGGAATAAAGTTCATTTCTACTTGTTGTTGCTTGTAAATTATGATGATCAGTTCGGTCCTATTGTGCTCTATGAATAGATGATCCAAAACAAGTACTCCCTCCGATCTATATTAATTGTCGCTGATTTACCAAATCAGCGACAATTAATATGGATTGGAGGGAGTATTCTTTTCAGTCACAGGGCAAGTATAAAACTAGCTGTACAACATCAGCAACCATATTCCTTGTGTTGAAAACATAGACATGTCCTCCTTGTAAATAATCATATCAAACTGCTCTAGTACCGGCACTACCAGTCTCAACTCCCTAACTCAGGGTTGCAACTTGCAACTTCAGGAATCATTCTGATAAAATCATACCGCGAGTGTCTTGCCATCAGGGGCGATGTCCCTGTCATGGAAGCACCACCTCTCAACTCCAAGCTTCTCCATGAACTCGAAGTGAGCTTTCACTGAAAAAAAGTTCAATGCATAAGTTGTTGATTCCAACAAATATGCAATTTCATAACGCCTGGGCCTAAATCACAAGATCAGATAATTATCATACTTCTTCTCTTAGCCATGGCCAAGGAATTGGTGCCATCCTCCCAAGGCCAGTTCTTTGTGGCTGCACCAAAAGGGTCTCCTCCAGTACCCCGGAATGTATGCCAGAACGCCACGCTGAACCGCAACCAATCCTATAGCACAGAACGAATATATAATCCTACTGTAGCACATGATGTAAAAGCAAACTAAAAAAGATCTGCTAACAAAAAGACATAGTTCTGCAAATCATACTTTCATTTTCTTTCCAAGGATCACTTCCTCCGCGTTATACCACTTGTAAGAAAGCGGCTTCTTGCTGGTAGGACCCTGCCACACAATTGTTCAAGGACAAATGTTATAAAACTGAAAGCAACCCGTTGACAGCACATAATCTGTTTCAGTTCAGTGTCAATGGCCTCACCTCATATCTGATCTTGGTAATGCCGGGGAAGAACTCGCCCTCCCAGTCATCAGAAGCGGCATCGCCGCACTTGGCGTCGATGTCGGCCGGGCAGGTTTCCTGCGCGGCAATCTGCAAGGCGCAACCAGATCAGAAGCAGGATCAGGTTAAGCGCATGGATCAAATCGCCATGGGCATCAATCATTCAAATCAACGAAGACCGCAAAGTTGGCAATCGCTCACCGCAGCGGACAGGCAGAGGGACGACGCGACCAGCAGGACCAAGAGCTCCGCGCCCTTCCTCATACCGAAACGTCTCTGCAACTGAAACAAAACAAATGTATGCATCGATCAGTGACGCGAGGATCCACTCCGTAGGCCAGAAATGTGAATTTTTTTCTATCCGCGGGTCCCGATTCCCAGCTTGTCGATCGAATCCCCAATCCTGTTACAGATAAAATCGCTTCTAGTCTAGAACTAGAACTCTACCAGTACTCCAGCGCGCAGCTAAGACGTGACACCCGCGACAAACCCGGACGGATTGGCGATGAGCAAGAATTCAGATGGGATTTTGCGGCAGCGAAGTGACGGCGCTGATACCCCGCGACGTCGAGGAGGCCGGCGGGGATCTCATCTCCAGCCGGAGCTGGCCGCGCCGGCTAGCCGGTACTGATACGGAGGAGGAAGCAAAGGACGAAGAAGTCGGGGGAGCTCACCGCGGCGGCCGCCGGAGAAGTGGGAGGCAACCAGCTCCGCGATCCGTGCGGGGTTGGTTAAGCGGCCGGATAGGGATTAGGGGAGAGTGGCTGAAGTGTTACTTTTTCTCCTTCGGATCAGAGGAGGCTCGTGTGCAGTCCACTGCCCCTCTCCGCTGGTTATTTATATAGCGCGGCGGCGGCTGACGCGATAAATCGGCGTGTCATTATCCGGATCGAGCGACGTGGGGTTGTTATCCGGACGAAACAGTGGCTAACTACGCTCGCGCATGCCCCGGGACCGGGAGGGCCTGCTTCTGTTGCGGCCTTCGTTTTACCAGACTTCGATTCGATTTCTTTTTCATTTCGATTTTCTTTTTCGAAATTTGTCTTTTCCCCTAAAAATACAGTAAATTGTTTTTCCGGAGCCTGCTTCGGCTGGCGCGCGCGGTGATGGGGTACGGTCGGGTCGGGTCGTGTCGTGTCGTGTGCTATTGGATTTGATCTTGGGATGAGCATGCGACGGCGTATTGCTTTTTCGGAGACTGCTTTGGCGGGCGCGCACGGTGATGGCCTGGTTGGTACGGGCGTGTCGTGTCGTGTCGTGTCGTGTCGTCTGCTCTTGGATTTGATCTTGGGATGAGCATGCGACGGCGTATAGTTGATTATCACGATGGGCTCGCGGCCTAACGGAGAAAAGATGCTTTGATCCTACTACTGCCTGCGAACCAATATGGAGTTAGATGATTGGAGGGACAATGGTATCCTAGCTTATCGAGGTTTAAATTTTGGGTGCTCGCATTATTTCTAAATTTATTACAGAATTTCTGACGATGTGTTTTCAGTGGGAGGGGACATTCCCAACAACGAGGAGGCGCTTATGATGACTTTGCAAATCTCAAGATAATACGACGGCTTAGCCTTTTGAAGGCGTTCATAGGGATACGATGTGTGTGTATGCGTTTATAAGGGTGAATATATGCGCATATGTGTAAGTGCTTTGCGTGTGTATTGTTGTGTTAATAAAAAGATCCTACTACTGCGTAACCCCAAGACCAAGACTGTGATGTTTCAACAAACAAGAAAGAAGGTTTTTCTCAAAAGGAAAAAAGTACTGTGTGTGTCGCGTTCTCGTCGAGCTATCGTTGGTGCACGGGATGGATGTGCCGCTCTTGTCACGCGCATGAATGAACAGAGAGAAGACGCCACATCTCAGTCCCGCCGTTCCACGGATTGCTAACACCCGCCTTTCGGCACGCACGTCAAGGAGGAAGAATCAAGGATCAAAATTATGTTAGAGCACTCACACCCGCGCCTCAAACCCCCCCTCGTGCGCACGGCCGAACGTCCGGCCCGTGACCGGTAAGAAAAATCTGAGCCGAACGAACGCCACAAACCGGGGCTTAAACGTCCAGACTGACTGACATCCTTTATATCCAGCTAAAATATGGATGCATATGAGAAGGTCTAGACGCGTTTGTCACGTCGGACTCGTCCCATGCTGGCAAACCCTAGCACTTAACTTCACTTCACTCGGCCATCCAAGCTCCCGTCCGACGATTTCTGGCCTTCTCCAGCATGGCAGGTAGCGGATCAGACGACAACCAGTACAGATACGTCGACTGGGGTGTCGTCTCGTGTGGTTTGGAGGAGGCAATGGCCATCCGCATTGCACTCCGCCGCTCCCGGGAGGACAACGCCCGACCAACATCGGGCTCTGTTCAGCGTGAGTTGATTACGTCGGTGCATCAGGCGCTCGGGATCCTCCGAGGATGGATCATCGCGGTCCTCCCAGGAGCCTCCCAGTCTCCCTTTCCCCATCAAGCCATCACCGGTCCGCCAGAGTATGAGTCACACCGGGACCGGTGTGCCCGTCATGGGAAGGAGAGGATGAGGGCGGCCGAGGCCCGCCTCGTTGCCGACATGGCGGTGCTACTTCTTGAGCTTGTGTTGGTTTTTTTCTTGAAGAGAAAAGGATGATGCAGCAAAGTAGAGATAATTATTTTCCTCAGTTAAAAACCAAGGTATAAATCCAGTAGGAGATACAAGCAAGTCTCCAATCTATGCACCTGCACAAATAACCAAACACTTGCACCCAATGCGATAAAGGGTTGTCAATATCTTCACGGTTAATTGGAAAGGTGAGATATGATAGAGATAAATATAAAAGATTAGTAAAACGTAAAACAAAGTAAAAACAAAAAAATTGCAGCAAGATATTTTTGGGTTTTTTGGTTCATAAATCTAAAAATATATGATGGAAAATAGACCCGGGGGACATATGCTTCACTAGAGGCTTCTCTCTTGAAGGAACATAATACGGTGGGTAAACAAATTACTATCGAGCAATTGATAGAAAAGCGTAAAGTTATAACGATATATAAGGCAATGATTATGAATAGGCATCACGTTCGTATCAAGTAGACCGAAACGATTCTGCATCTACTACTATTACTCCACACATCGACCGCTATCCAGCATGCATCTAGAGTATTAAGTTAAAAAAAACGGAGTAACGCCTTAAGCAAGATGACATGATATAGAGGAATAAACTCAAGCAATATGATGAAAACCCCATCTTTTTACCTTTGATGGCAACAATACAATATGTGCCTCGCTACCCCTACTTTGTCACTGGGTGAGGACACCGCAAGATTGAACCCAAAACTAAGCACCTCTCCCATTGCAAGAAGAACCAATCTAGTTGGCCAAACCAACCCGATAATTCGAAGAGAAATACAAAGATATCAAATCATGCATATAAGAATTCAGAGAAGGTTCAAATAATATTCATAGATAAACTGATCATAAATCCACAATTCATCAGGATCTCAACAAACACACCGCAAAAGAATATTATATCGGATAAATCTCCAAGAACATCGAGGAGAACATGGTATTGAGGACCAAAGAGAGAGAAGAAGCCATCTAGCTACTAGCTATGGACCCGTAGGTTTGTGGTAAACTACTCATGCTTCATCGGAAGGGCAATAGAGTTGATGTAGAAGCCCTCCGTGATCGAATCCCCCTCCGACATGATGCTGGAAAAGGCCCCAAGATGGGATATCACGGGAACAGAAGGTTACGGCGGCGGAAAAGTATTTTGATGGACGCTTCTGGTCGTTTGGGAATATTTCTGAATTTATAGGCCAAAGATTAGGGTTGGAGGAGTCCCGTGGGGCCCACTGTTGGAAATATGCCCTAAAGGCAATAATAAAAGCATTATTATTATATTTCCTTGTTCATGATAATTGTCTTTATTCATGCTTTAATTGTGTTATCCGGAAATCGTAATACATGTGTGAATAATAGACACCAACATGTCCCTAGTAAGCCTCTAGTTGATAGCTCGTTGATCAATAGATAGTCATGGTTTCCTGACTATGGACATTGGATGTCATTGATAACGAGATCACATCATTAGGAGAATGATGTGATGGACAAGACCCAATCCTAAACATAGCACAAGATCGTATAGTTCGTTTGCTAGAGTTTTCCAATGTCAAGTATCCTTTCCTTAGACCATGAGATCGTGTAACTCCCGGATACCGTAGGAGTGCTTTGGGTGTACCAAACGTCACAACGTAACTGGGTGACTATAAAGGTATACTACGGGTATCTCCGAAAGTGTCTGTTGGGTTGACACGGATCAAGACTGGGATTTGTCACTCCGTATGACGGAGAGGTATCACTGGGCCCACTCGGTAATGCATCATCATTATGAGCTCAAAGTGACCAAGTGTCTGGTCACGGGATCATGCATTACGGTACGAGTAAAGTGACTTGCCAGTAACGAGATTGAACGAGGTATTGGGATACCGACGATCGGATCTCGGGCAAGTAACATACCGATTGACAAAGGGAATTGTATACGGGGTTGCTTGAATCCTCGACATCGTGGTTCATCCGATGAGATCATCGAGGAGCATGTGGGAGCCAACATGGGTATCCAGATCCTGCTGTTGGTTATTGACCAGAGAGCAATCTCGATCATGTCTACATGTCTCCCGAACCCGTAGGGTCTACACACTTAAGGTTCGGTTAGCTAGGGTTGTAGGGATATGTATATGCAGTAACCCAAATGTTGTTCGGAGTCCCGGATGAGATCCCGGACGTCACGAGGAGTTCCGGAATGGTCCGGAGGTAAAGAATTATATATAGGAAGTGCTATTTCGGCCATCGGGACAAGTTTTGGGGTCACCGGTATTGTACCGGGACCACCGGAAGGGTCCCGGGGGTCCACCGTGTGGGGCCACCTATCCCGGAGGGCCCCATGGGCTGAAGTGGGCAGGGATCCAGCCCAAAGTGGGCTGGGGCGCAACTTCCCCCTAGGGCCCATGCGCCTAGGGTGGGGGAAACCCTAAAAGGAAGAGTCCTAGGAGGGGAAGGCACCTCCTAGGTGCCTTGGGGAGGAGGGATTCCTCCACTTGGCCGCACCCTCCTAGGAGATTAGATCTCCTAGGGCCGGCGCCCCCACTTGGCCCTCCTATATATAGTGGGGGAGATGGAGGACTTCTCACCCTTGCCTTTGGTGCCTCCCTCTCCCTCTCCAACACATCCTCCTCCTCCATAGTGCTTGGCGAAGCCCTGCCGGAGTACTGCAGCTCCATC